CACGACGCCCTCTGCATTCTTCGTCGAGTAGCTAGTGCACCTCCCCAGCACTGCGTAGCCGCCTGGGAGATGCTGGCTCAGGTGGCCCTTCTCTGGATTTTAGCCCGCCTGCTGCCGCCCGGGCACACGCCCTTTCACGTAGTGTTTCGCACGGATAACTCCCCCTCACAATCCGCGGCCTGGAAGGGTCTTACCCTCGCGAGGGGCATGGGGCATGTGTCAACTTGTTCGCCAATTTTGTCTGTTGCAGGAAACTGTCCGCATCTCAGTGCATCTGGACTCTGTCCCATGACGTGGCGGATGCTCTTAGCCGATCAGTTCCACCTGTTACACTGGGTTTTCAGCCCTCTGAGGTCTTTCCGTCCCTTGGGCTTCCTTCCCTGAGATCCCCGACCTCACTTTCTTTCCGTTGCCGTCTCTCATGGAGAACTACGTTGCAGCCTCTGTCTGATCAGAGCTCAAATTCTGATGGCCTTCTTCTCCGCTGGGTCGAGCTCTGGCTTATTTGGACTTTCAGGCATCAGAATTCTGTCCCTGCAGCGCTGCCCGTAGGTCTGCCTCTGCCTGTCCGTAGGGCTCGCTTAGGGACCAGTTTTCTGTTTTGCCAACCGAGCCAAAAAGAGAGAGCGCGTGCGTGTTTCCGTTTCTGTCTGTAAGGTAACATGCATTTAACATAGCATGCGTAACGGACTAGTTTTGGACGAACGATATGGAGCTTGATCCTAAGTGTTTGTCCTTAAACGCAACGGCAAGGATGCTGCCTCCGTCCGCAGCATCCTTGCTCACAGGTGGAGCAGAGTCATTTTTGGATTCCCACCGTCCTACCCCTGTCTCCGCCTGCTTGCTCTGCCTATCTGTCTGCTCCCAGTGATCCATTGGACTTGGTCCTGAGCATGCGCTGCGTTGCTCCCTCCCCGTAATCCATTGGTCTTGGTCCGGGTCGAGCCTGCCTACATCCGTCTCCCCGTAATCCATTGGATTTGGTCCCGGTCGAGTTTGCTGTCCGGTTGCGGTGATCCCTTGGTTTTGGTCCCGGTCGAGCCTGTCTCTGTCTGCCCGCTCCCAGTGATACCTTGGACTTGGTCCTGGTCGAGTAGGTGGTTGCGCTGTGTGTGGATTCTGCTTGCCTCAGCACTGCCCGTAGGTCTGCCTCTGCCTGTCCGTAGGGCTCGCTTAGGGACCAGTTTTCTGTTTTGCCAACCGAGCCAAAAAGAGAGAGCGCGCGCGTGTTTCCGTTTCTGTCTGTAAGGTAACGTGCAATTTAACATAGCATGCGTAACGGACTAGTTTTGGACGAACGCATGGCTCCTTCGTGCGCTGGAGGTCCGTACCGAGCTTTATGTCGTTAGAAATGGCACAGTTGGAGATGTCACATACATGGTTGACAGAGAAACCGGATCCCCATTCAGGGGTGAGGTGGAGCGTGTGGTGTGCGACCGCTTGGCCGCCACGGTACGCCATGTATGTTCGCAATTTAACACTCACATCCCTGTTGGCTAGTCCATCCAAGGAGCTAACATCGACCGCTAGAGATGTCGTCACCTCGGATTGCGGTGTCCGCAAGTTGGTTGACACCTGTGAGGTGGCGATGAATGCTGCATCTTTGCGGAGCACTTCTAGAGAGTTTCCGCAAGAGGTGGTGGCCTGGGGTATGATGGCAGTCGATGAAGCACACATCCCGCGTGCTCATCCCAACTGTATTCCGGATGTCACCTTCGCAGCGCTCAAGAAACTGAAACTTCCGGAAACGCCAACAGCACATGCAGTTCGAATGGAAGCAACGTTGTTAATCCTCGACCTTCACATGGCACAAACGAAGAACAAGATCCTGCAGTACTTCTGTGAGGAGAACGGTTGGCCGGACATTGTGGTCGTGGATCCTTCGGGCAAGGGAGGAACACAGAGTGGCACGAGTGATGATTATGCAAACAGAAGGATTCACATTTTCATCTCCTTTCACGACCTCAGGAAGGCGCGAGGACGAAGTGATCCTAGAACTGGTGCAAGCGATCGAAAAGCTTCGGAAGGCCAGTCAGTGTATCTGCAGCGTTCACGTGAACGAGGAAGCAACGTCCCATGACAACACGCCCGTTGGAGCAAAGTTGTTTGCTTGGATCGCAGATACTGGCGTATTGGCATTTCGGGCAAGTGGTGTCACTAGAGCCTTGAAGGTACTTTGGGGCAGCAAGTTTGCTTTCGATGATGCTAGTGTTCCGAAGGCATATGCAGTTTGGTATTTGTGGATGGCAACGGTGGCGTTCATGTTGCTTGATCCATCCATCATTGCCGAGATCACCGGGCTTTACCTAGATTGGGCAAGGCGCGCAGGCGATAATGCTTGGGATGTGGAACTCACCACTGATCGAGTTGACATGATGGAAAGAGATGTCGCCAAAGCAAAGTCCGCTACGGAGAGTGACTCGAAGATCATGATCCGGAGGGTCCTCTCATCCTCTGTGCCTTCTACTACCCCAGTGACACAGGCTTTTGGGTCGCAGGGAAGAAGCTGGCAAGATTGGCATCATGTGTGTCAAATGTAACAACAAAAGAAAGGCCTTGGGTATCCCAGCCTTAAGTGGAGAGAAATGCGCTGACAGTGACAGCGCTCCAGACTTGGGGTACACAAAGCAGTCCAGTGCGCATTGCGTAAATTGTTGCGCTCTCTACCAGGGCTTGCGTTACCTGGGTCACACATCCAATACCGAAAATCCCGATGAGAAGACAATCTATGAAACTTTGGGAGCACAGCGGAAGGAGTTGGCAGGCATTCTCCTCGCGGTGATGGAGCATGGCATGTTCAATTCGCCTCTTGATGGGCGCGTCGTTTCACCGGACATCGATTTCGTCGAATGGATGATCGTGGTGTACTCCGCTGTCAGGGGTACAAAGACGGAAAAGGATCTTTGCAACTGGGGATTCATCAGGTGCCTACCAGCTGTTGCAATCCAAAAGTTCATCAATGGTAGAGGCGGCTCGCTGTCAGTGATCATGGGCACAAATGAGTACGACGTGAACTTCTTGGTGGGAAATGATTTGGGGAATGCTGTGTACTGCCAATGGCTCAAGCACACCCTTTCGGAGGCGCAATGGGATCGGATGTGTGACGACCCGCAATCGGTGAACGAGGAGAGGGCTGTTGATGCGGTGGAGGTGTGCTTGGCCACTCTCTATTTCACCGCACTCTATCCAGTGGAATTTCGATTTTGGGGCGACCCGTTTGAGAACTATGCTGGGCTGGAACATTCAATCAGATGCATTGCGGTGTCGACTGGATGCGTTTCTACAACTGGATCTCAGCGCACTCCTCCTGGTGCTTCGCTATCCAGCAAGGTAATCGAGATGGGAAAAGTGCTTGCCGCGGTCTTGGGTACCCCAACCGTGATCATCACCATGGAAGAGTGCTACGCCGTTCTCAAGAAGGTGAGGGATGGACCAATCGAACCGACCCAGATCGTCAAAGATGAACCTGAAGATGAGGTCACTGATGTTT